TCTCTCCCCATGCTCTCGGCCCCCTCTTCTGCCCACAGCAGCCACACCAAAGGGAGTTTTCTAAAGCATCTGTCTCCTCCTGATTGCTTCAAAATTCCCCTTGCTACTCCCCATTGCCTGCAGAGTAAAGTCCACGTCCCCTCCCCAGTCCCTCCTTACACCTTACACGTGCCCACCTCCCTGCCCAGGCTGCCTCTCCCTCAGCCTAGTAACTCTCTCCCCTCGGCGGCGGCGCTCAGACAGACCCTCACTCATTCCTCTGGGTCTGCTTTGGATGTCACTTCTGCCCCTGATTCTTCAGAGGGAGTCACTGGCTCCTGGCATCCGCAGGAGGACTGCCCCCCCCCCCCCAGTTCCTGTGGAATCCCAGGGCTGGCCCCGGCTTGGTGTCATTGAGTGAATGGGGAGTGAGTGGATGAATGAAGGAACACATGGATCAAAGACAGGGGAGGCCCAAGCATCTCTGCCTGGGTGTGACCCTGGCCAAGGCTCCTGCTGGAACCTCACTGAGGGCAAAGCAGATGAGGCGAAGAGCAGGGGCCCTGGCTCTCGGGGCTGGGCCTGTGGAGTCAGGGAAGCTTCCTGGGGAAGGGGACCAGGCACGGGGAGGGGTCAGTCATGAGAAGGGATGGGTCATTGTGAGTTGAGGGAGGTGACAGGTCAGAGCTGAGAGTCAGGATTTCAACCCACAGGTAGCTTGTGGGGACGTAGGTAGCACCTTGCACTTTTCTCCCTTACAGCTACCCCCCCTCCCCCGGGGCTCAGCAGGAGGAGCTAGCTTGGTCTGTGGTGGGGAGAGGAAGGCTTGTGCATGGGGTCAAAGAGGGTGGCCTCCCTGGGAACCCCCGGCTGCAGGGAGAGGGAGGTGTGTATGTGTTGGGATCCGGGTCCCTGAGGCCTCCACCTCCCTTCTCCCCCCACTTCCCTGCCCTGCCCTCACAGGCTCCTTACCCAAGTGGGTGGTGAATAAGTCTTCTCAGTTCCTGGCTCCCAAGGTAAGTGAGTGGCCTTGGGACTCTGGGGTATAGAGGCTGGGGGAGAGGGCTGAGTGACAATGGGATGGGTTAGGACCGAGGGGCGGGGTTTGGAAACTTGTGCTAGGGGTCCAGGTCTTGGCAGCTGGGAGCTAGCTGAGCCCCCTGGAGGGTGCCAGGGTGGGGTCGTGGGGATTCCCTCCCCCGCCTCAGCCGCACCCCGCTTTCACCCCGTGGCGGCCCCACAGGCCATGAAGAAGATGTACAAGGCGTGCATCAAGTACCCGGAGTGGAAGCAGAAGCACCAGCCGCACTTCAAGCCGTGGCTGCACCCGGAGCAGAGCCCGCTGCCCAGCCTGGCGCTGTCCGAGCTGTCGGTGCAGCACGCGGACTCCCTGGAGAACATCGACGAGAGCGCCGTGGCCGAGAGCCGCGAAGAGCGCACGGGCGGGGCGGGAGGCGAAGGCAGCGACGACGACACCTCGCTCACCTGAGCTAGGCACCGCCACCCCGCGCAGGGGCC